ATTCAGGATGTGCTCCTGGAACTGAGAATACGAATCCAAATAAAACCAGAATTCTTTTAGCAATGCCCTCCATGCCTTGCTCATATCTCCTAGGCTCACCTTGGTGATCACTTCCACCTTTGATGGGCAGTTTCCATTTACACTAAAGACCTCCTACCTTAAGCACCGGCAACTACTGAGGTTATTCTCTGGCCATGGAAGCACAAGTGAAGTCTCAGGAGTTATCAGTTCCCAGGAGCAACCCTCAACAGATGATGGAGTTTGATGGATAAGTACTCCTATAGGTTTCTTGACCTAGTGAGACAGTTCTTATGTGCTACATGTGTAGTGTCCCACACAATAAGCCAACACATGTGGTGATTACAATTTAAATTAATTGACAATAGATAAAATGAAATATTCATTCCTCGGTCACACTGGCCTCATTTCAGGTACACAACAATTGCATGTGGCTAGTGGCTACCATATTGGACAGTGCAGATAAGTCATTCCATGGCACAGAAAGTTCTTTAGGTTAGTGCTATTCCGCATGATCTTTCTGAGCATCCTCTCAGAACTGAGCACATGTTGACCACTTACTCATTCACCATTTCTTAGCTTTCTTTCCCTGTTTTGTTTCCTCACACTTTCACTCTTAGTTCATCTGTGCTGCTATAACCAAATATCTGAGACTGGTAATTTATAAAGAACGAAAGTTTATTTTTCACATTTCTGGTGGCTGGGAAGTTCAAGATCATGGCACTGGTATCTGGTGTCTGGCAAGGGCCTTCCTGCTGTGTCTTCACATGACAGAAAAGTGGAAGAAAGCAAACCCACTCCCTCTAGCCCTTTTATAAGGTCCCTAATCCCTGCCCTCATGACTTAATCGCATCCTAAAGGCTCCACCTCTTAATACAATCACGTTGGTGATTACGTTTCAACACATGAACTTCGGAGAACATCCAAATCACAGTACTCTGCTTTCTGGAATCACCTCCCAAATAAGCTTCTTGCCCCAAGTCCTTGTCTCAGGGTTTTGAAGAATCCTAACCAAGGAAACACTCTTAGGAAGAGGAAAGAGGAAAAGGATGTTGTCAACTACCAACAAATGTGCTCTACATTCTTGCTACTCAAAGCATGGTCCACGAGTGACAGATTTTCAAAAAAGCAGAGTCTCGGGCCGCACCCCAAACCTACAGAACCAGGATCTGCATTTTAACAAGATTCCCCAGGGGATCTGGCTACACAGTAAAGTTTGAGATATTCTGCTTCATAGCTCTCTTAAACAGAGGGAGGAGAAAACAGAAATTGATAAAACATGCCCTTTAAACAGAGCTTCACGCTAAAAAGCTCCAAAAGGCATATGTCGTCATCTTTCATTACAGGACTCTGGTGCCTTTACCAATGTTTATATATATATTTTTTTCTTGAGATGGAGTTTTGCACTGTCGCCTGGGCTGGAGTGCGGTGGCGCCGCCTCGGCTCACTGCAACATCTGCCTCCTGGGTTCAAGTGATTCTCCTGCTGTCAGCCAAGTAGCTGGGATGACAGGTGCCTGCCACCATGCCCAGCTATTTTTTTTGGTATTTTTAGTACAGATGGGGTTTCACTATTTTGGCCAGGCTGGTCTCAAACTCCTGACCTCGTGATCCACCTGCCTTGGCCTCCCAAAGTGCTGGGATTACAGGAGTGAGCCACCGAGCCCAGCCTAAATTTTGTGTTTTCATTTTTGTCTTGAGGATCTTATGGCCCACTAGCTTGAGGTCCCCTTTCCTTAAGACGAAAAGCTCTCTTTGTCCTTTGAGTTGACCTCTTTAGCACTGATTTTTTTCCTTTCTGTCTCTAGAGGGGCTTTGACTCCCCAGTTCAGCATTTTATCATAAGGTGATCAGACAGCCAATACCTGAGGAAGTCTTACTCTGACGGCCTTTCACAGCTGGTGAGTGAATAAGCCCTTTCTCCTAAAGACAATGGGATTCTCTATCTAGGACCAAATTTGTTCTAATTAGCTGACTCTCCGCTTTGCAGGGGCAAGTCTTCTGGAGGTTAATAATGCTATTTTGAGAATACCTGTAACTCACCCGTTAATGAACACGATGATGTGAACATAAAATATTTTTCATTCCACAAAGAAAGACTTTATCCCATTCTCTGTCTCATGTCTCTATTCTGGATTTGCTTTGTTTTTAAATTATGTTCAAATCACGCTTTCATTAGTGTTAATTTGGTGGCTTTTGCAATGTTTTTTCATTCTTTACCAAGAAGTGACTTCTTCTTTGCTTAGCCCTGATGGAGCATTCATTTTGTTCAGGGATGTCTTTTGATTATCGGCCTGAATAAAAGAGCAATGTTTCATGCCTGGTACTTAATTTTTTGCTTGAAGTGTGTCAGGACAGAACATCTTTTGCAGATATTTATCTAGCAATGGTTTAAAGAAAATTAGGCTTCTTCAAACCTGTGCTATCTGAATGCTGTTTGATTCTTTGCCCTCATAAAGGACATCTTAACTTTACCTACTGGTAAGATGTGGAAAAAATATTATGTGCCTCCTAAGGATCCGGAAGCCCTGAACTTTTGATTGCTAGTTAAAAATTTTAGGCAGTTTTCTGTAGGAGCAGACACGACATTTAGTCGTGTTGACAAATATAACATAATTAAGATACTGCGGTCTTTCCAAACCGGCTAAGTAGCCCTTCCAGTAAGCACCCCTCCACTACCGCCAGGTGCCATCCCCACTATATCCTGCCTCCTCCCAACATCAACACCACCATTTCACCAGAACCCAGCACTAAAGTATTAACCCAGCACTCTGCTCTAATGCTAGTGCCCCTGTGGCTGGCTTGACTACAATTAAGTTGGCAGGTGGGTGCCCTGCTGTACAGGTCGCTGAATCTTTTAAATATTGCCTCTGAGAATTCAATCGCCTTGTTACTTAGCTCTTGAAAAATGTGCAAAACATTCAGAAAACCTTTGAAAGAACATACTGTTTAGAATGGCAAAGAGAATTGTGCTGACTTTAAGATGGTTTTTAGGTAAACCTCCTGTCAACGGATACGATGTTTTCTTTCTTAGAGGTGAGAAAAGAGTTGAGAAACTAAATTGACTTATAAGTCAAAATTGGCCTCAGGTCATTTATAACATAAAGGTAGATTTGCCTCCAAACTTTGCACTTTTTTTTTTTTTTTTTTGAGATGGAGTTTCGCTCTTGTTGCCCAGTCTGGAGTGCAGTAGTGCAATTTTGGCTCACCGAAACCTCCACCTCCCAGGTTCAAGCGATTCTCCAGCCTCAGCCTCTCAAGTAGTTGGGATTACAGGCCCCTATCACACCCTGCTAATTTTTGTATTTTTAGTAGAGACAGGGTTTCACCATGTTGACCAGCCTGGTCTCGAACTTCTGACCTCATGTGATCCACCCGCCTCAGTCTCCCAAAGTGCTGGAACTACAGTGCTGTGTTCTTATAGTGTCTTTAGATTCCAGTTCGCAATATAGGTACACAGAAAAACGCAGGTGAGTGTTTTCTGGTTTCCTCTTTGAGATGCCTTTAGGGCCCCCTAGTGGCTGTCTTGAGACCTCAGGTTTCTTAGGATTAGGTCCCCTTGACCATAATAAAAAATGAGAGACCTTTAGGAATGTCTTCAGTGACAGGTACAATAACTGTGTGGAGATAAACAGATAACAGTTGCTTTAGAGAGCTCGATATTTTTTCATTTCCCGGTTCTCAGCAAAAGCTGCGCTCATTCTTTAGAAATAACATATATCACCTTACATATTTTATTTTGCATTCTCATACTATATTCTAGTGGAAATCCTTTTAAGACATTTATAACCTGGTTTGTGTCAAAGGGCTATAATTCCTAGTAACTACATCCTACTTCAGGTTTTCCATGTATATGTACATACATATTTAGTTGCTTGGACTAGGGAGTTGAGGAGCCTTACAATTTTCCAACGTAATACTTTAAACGTGGGGCTTGATGTACTAACCAGAGGGCTCAGTATGTGTCATATTTCAGCCCGACAGCATTCCTGTCATTTAAAGCATTAGCTATGCCACTGACTACAGAAAACTGCAACCTTGACTTTTTGATAAAGCAAAGTTTTTCTACATTTAAGGTGCTTATTGACTAATGAAAGTGCATTTTGTGAAATCCCCTAATAAGGTCTTATGTCCTCAACGTACGTTACTGAGCAGCGTGAATATTGCTGGCTCCCACCCCATGGTCAGTTTTCTTTCTTAGATTCCATCTAGAGAATGTACTACACTCGAGTAATTATAATGGAGCTGTTTCTTTCCTGCAAGCATATATTTTAGTTTCCCAAGTTATTCAATTATTTCTCCTTTGCTTGTAAATTTCAGGTATCTTCCTTTCCTCAGTCACGTTACCTTTATTAATATGCTAATACGCTGCAATAATGCATTTTACACCACTCATGAAGTGAAGCAAAACGAAAAAGAAAGTACAAATTCTTGCTTTAACTTTACCCGGTTCCGGGCCGTGGGTGGGGGTGAGAGAGGAGGAAGAGAGTAGAAAGGAAGGACATTCGGCCCGCAAAAAATAAAAATGATCCTCTTGTTTTCAGCGCGTTCTAGAAGAGAACTGCACGTCAGAGGAAGAACTGAGCAGCCTTCGAGCTAAAAGGCTTGGCATTAAACTTTGACACTTTAATGGTCTCTAGGATATTAGATAATATTTTATCAGATAATGTTCTTCTCCGACACGGTAATGGCATCAAAAACAAATAGGATCTGCTTTGCCTGGAACGTGCACGGTGAGACTCATCCCCGCAGAGATCAGACAGCAGGACCCCAGCTTCGCAGTTAACTAATCCCGAAGCTCCAAAGCAAACGTCTTTTACTTCTTCGCCGGGGACGCTGCTGTGCCACTGCTGCCTCCCTTTCGAATTCTGCTGGGCTCTGTCAGCCGCTGAGATTAGGTAAACAGCGCCCCGGAGCCGGGGCAGAGCCGGCGCTGCTGCTGCTGGTGGGGGTCGTTGTTTCACGAGGCTGGAGGGAAGTAGGATGGGGGAAGGGTCCCAGCTGGGTCGAGCCAAGGGCCGAGAGTGTGGTTACCCAGGCGGGAGCCTGGTCCGGAACCGAGCAGGGGCCGAACCTTGGAAGCCCTTGCCCCACCCCCACCAGCCCGACCTCGAGGAGTGGGGTCAGCTCGGGAGTTCGAGCTCTGCGGGCGGCCTTTTCCCGCGTGCCCCCTCCCCACTCATTCTTCCCGTGCCCCTTCCAAGAACTAGGGTGGGCTTCCCGCTGCCTTGCCGGAATCCCAGAGTGCGGAGAGGCGCGCAGAGGGGAGGCAGAGACCCCCGGCCGCCCGCCCGGCAGGGGAGAGGTGGAGACCCGGGGGGGAAGGGGACCCCAGAAGCCCTGGGAGCGAGCTGAGGAAAAACCCGGGAGCTGGATCGCGCGCTCGGAGCTCCGGTCTCCGAGTCGGAGTTGTGCAGCCCTCGGCGTCCTTTCTCTCCCTGCCTCTCCGCTTTCCTCTCCTCAGGGTTTTCTCTCCAGGGAAGTATCCTCCTTCCATCCATTCTCACGCCCCCGCCCCCGAGTCCCGAACCATTTCACCCACTCCCCCTGTGGCTTGGGAGGACTCTCGGCACCCCCGCCCTCGTCCCGAGGACTGGGAGGCTCTAAGTCCATTCAAGGGATATTGCGCGCCGGGTTCTTATGCCAAGAGGGAAAGAGCGAGAATAAAATCAGCAGGGGAGGGGCTTGGTGTGCGCGCACCGGGTGTGCGTTTGGGGTGGGGGAAACAGATATGTAGTTTTCCTAGAGGAATAGGAAGCCTTGGACAGGATTCTCGGATACCGAGCCCAAAAAGATGCCGTTAGAGCCCTTCACCGGGGCTCCTCACGGACTCCGGCTGCCCCATACCCGGCCCAGCTCCGGGAGAAGCGGCGACCCGAGGCGGGGAAACTTCCTACTTCCCACCACGGCTGTTTTGTGCAATTTGGGGAGCAGGCTGTCCGACCCTGCAAGCCAGCGAGCGTCTCTACCGCGGCAGCTGCAGGCCCGTCCCGCTTCCCTTCCCCCTCTTTTCGCGAGGCACGCCAAGCCCGAGGCGCCCGGGAGCGGCCGCGCTGTTGGGGGAGAAGAGCGGGGAGCTTCCAGCTTGCACCCTTTCATTTAGACCCAGCCCGGGATCCCAGCTCCGGGTGTTGCTTCTGCCTGCCTGCCCGCGAGCTGAAGCAGCACAGGGGCGGAGTCTCTTCTGGGGGGCGGAGCCTGTGCGGGGGCGAACAGTTGGTCCGTGCGGCTACGGCGCTTGCCATTGGCCGGCCTCTCGGTCACGGGGTCAGGGGCGGGTCCCGAAGCGGGCGCCAGCCCCGCCCCCGCTCGGAACCCAGCCCCGGCTCGCGGTCCCCCCCAGCTGCACAGACATGACACAGACACACAGTCACTGCAGCTGCTGAGCGAGTCCGGCGCTCTGGGCACGCGGAGGCGGCGGGGCCAGCCCGGAGCCCGGACCCCAGCGCCCGCCCCTGCCGGCCTCCGCGCGGCGGCCCCCTCCTGGCCGGGCGCGGGAGGCGGGGATCGCGCGCCGGCTCCGGCCAGCGGTGCCGGGCTGCCCGCGGCGGCTGCAGCGGCCGCCCAGCTCCGAGCGCCGCGCGCTCCGGGAAGCCGGCGCATCTCGGAGGCGGCGCCGGCCGAGGCCGGCGAGCGCTCCCGGCGGCGGGGCCGCCCGCCTTGGCTCCCCGCACCCACTGGGCCGCGATCCGTTCGCCGCGCCTCCGCTCTTGTGACCTTCCCGGGGCGCCTCCCCTGGCCCCGTGCCCCCGGCCCCGCGCCCCAGGCCGGGGCGAGGCCCTCTCCGGTGCCTCCTTCCCGCGGAGCCGCGGGCGGGCGGCGCAGGCCCGGGGGGAGAGCGCGCCGCGGCCGGCTGCAGCCCCCCCCACTCCCCGCGCCGCTGCGCTCGGCGCCCGGCCCGGCCGGTCTGCTCCTGCCCCGCCGCCGCGCCGGAGCCCGGGCGCCCGAAGCTGGGGGCGCGGCCGCGCTTGCCTCGCCGGGCCGTTCGCGGGCAGGCCCTGCCCTGAAGGGGCGAATCGGCTGGGAGCGCGGGAGGTGGAGTCGGCCCCGGCGGCCGCTCCCTGGACCCAGCCCGAGGCGGACCCAGGCCCCTGCCCATGCGGGGCGCCTCCGGCTTGGAAGAGTCCCTCGTGCCAGGAGCAGCTCCAAGCAGCGGCCCCGGAGGAAGAAGAAGAAGGGACAGTGTTCAGCGTGGACAACCCGGACCCTCGCCGCGGCATTTGGAGCCGGGGGCAGTCCCGAACTCTGCGCTTGGCACTGCCGCTCGGAGGAGGACAGCGCCTGCCGGGACCCTGACCCGGACGCCCTGAGCCTCGTAGGCGGCGGCGCCACCCGGTTCATCCGCGTCTTCACGGCTAAGGTAAGAGCCCTGGAGCGCAAGAGTCACCGCGGGGGCGCCGTGGTGTGCTGCGCCGGACAAGTTCTCCGAACCTGTGGCTGGTAACCCCTGTACTCGGGACGCCGGCGGGGAGGGCGGGCACACCCTCTGCTGCCCGGGCCGGGAGCCCTGAAGAGGCGAGAGGTGGAAGCCCCCATTCTCCGACGACCCCAGGACCAGTATCAGGGCCTGCTCTGCTTCTCGGCACACGGGCTGCTGGCAGGGAGCGAGCCATGAGGAGTTTCTGGTTAACACCAGGAGGGCAGGTGACCGGTCCCCACACCCCCGGCCCCGCTTGTGAGCACCTGTGGTTTGTCGAGCCTGCTTTGGAGGGGGCCCTTTTGGGCGGTACGCAACTACCT